GGCCACGGCCGACCCTTGCCGGCCGTCCGACAACAATTCCCGTGCAATCTGACCTTAATTAACATAACCTGACTCAACATGAACATAATTATCAAAATGACTTAAATACATAACCTTTCGCATGATCAACTGAACGGGCCGTGGCGAGCGCGCCGTGCGCCGCCGACGGCGATAGGCTGTCACCCGACCGATTCAACTTATCCCTCGGCAACTATGACATCAAACAACGTAACATGACTTAATATGTTTTATTGTACTGAACTCCCATGTAAATACTGAACTTTGTTCAATGGACAAAACACATGGCCGTGGTGCGCTCGCTATGTGCGAGGCTTACGGCTTATGGCCAATTCCTCGGTCAAACATGAAAACTTCTCGAACAACATGAGCCACTGAACATAAAATGACCTAACTTGATCATTTAAACACCAATTGTTCGAACAAACTTGACAATAATAAAAGATAACATTACAAGGTACATGATGGCCCGCGGGTGTGCGCTATATACGAAGCCCCCCTTGCTTGAGCCAATTCATGAACAAAACGCTAATTTATCCCGACCTATCTTCCTAAACTGAGCATTATACATTAAATAAGGACTAAAAGAACATGAAACACTCGGGACTTGCTGGAGAAAAATGAACATAACTCGGTATTGTTTAAATATGACCTAACCAAATACAACATGAATTTTCTCATAATTTCTGAATATAATTCGAACACTTAACCTTATTATGGCCTTATTAACAGGATTATAAGATGAGGAGGAAGTTACCTCTTCAATCCTTCGCTGAATTGTACTAAGATATGCGTGAATTTGCCTCCAAATATGCCTTGTGCGTGCGTGCGATACAATTTAACTAAGGCAATATGTTGGAATACTTGCTGCTGAATTAAGGACTAGAAATAAGACTATAAGGCTGCATATATGTGGTAAGAAAGGATGGAAAATTTTTTTAAACTCCACATCTATATAGGCGGCCCAAAATGAGGACGGATGACGTAGTGAAGGCGTGACCTTATTAGGTATCGGACATTTGCTACTTAACTAATGACTAAGATGGGTTAGTCATCCCAAACACACCTCTTAATGCCACGTAGTCAACACTTAAGAAGGAAGAAAGTTTGGTTTCCTTAATACTTAGGAAAGATGTATAAAATTTGGAATCATACACCATGATGCGTACGGCTTTAAGCCCTAATGCATAGGATTAATGCTAATTAATCATCTCTTATGTTTAATTATTTAATTAAACATAATACTTAATTACCAAAATTATTGCGACCGTAAACGGTACGTCGAAAATAATTTTCGGTAATCTCGACTGAAAATAATTAATTCCGAAAATAATAATTGATAACATTATTATATCGGAACTAAAACATAATTTATACTGATAAAATATCGGGATATTACATATAGTAAGTAAATATATATGATATATATTATGTAGTCCTTCTCCTAAAGGATTAGGATCCCATAATACATACAACAATGAATATATACCATATATTATTAATAATAAACATTAGGAATTTAGTTAAATCACAAGTAAATAAATAGAAAAGCTTCCCTTTAATTTATTTTGCTTGCTTAACAAGAAATCTTCTAGAAAACACTTAGGTTTGTCGGATGATGCCAAACCAATGTTCTTACAATCTCCCCCTTTGGCATTCAGTTCGAAACCGTGTTTCTTGAAGATATCCTACAAAATAAACTCAAAACAACAAAGCAAATTGCGAACATCAGGAAGTAACTACTCAAACACCTGCAATGCAAGAACATCAGAACAGTTCCTATCAAAACAACTATGAGGACTATGATCAGAGCAATCAAAACACGTCAAGCTATCAGAACCTAAGTCAAATAGAGTGACCGATTCATCTCCCCATGTCAGAATAGACAAAACAATCAAACAACAAAACATACATGTTCTTACATCCTGTAGAAACATGTCAAAAACAACAACCACAAGTAATCAGAAGCAAACAACTAGAACATAATCCCGGACATCTTCAGAAACATCTTATTTCTCCCCCTTTTTAGACTGAAATGCCAAAGGCAAATCTCCCCGTGAGTAAGAACATCAAATGAGAAAAATAAAGATGACCGAAGACCAAAGACGTTGCTTGAACTGATCTCTAATCGCTGATATGCTGTCCATCTCTTCTCCAGGCTTTTGCCATCAGCCAAAGTGTTTCAGAAGCACATTAGAAAATGATGCAGGAACACAAATGGTTAAACGAATAATTCATGGAGAAAGAGAAATGAAAATGGGGTTCTCAAGTTCCGAAAATGAAGATATATAGTGAGGGCAGAATGAATGAAATGTCAGGATGTAATGAGTAAGATTTGAAAATCAAGGGAAAGGTTGGATACTATGCAGTAAGAACATTCCCATCAAAACTGAATACACAAACCCATTAACACACTAACACATGTGTCCAACTAATTAAAAATTAGGAAGAATAAGATTTTATCATCCAAAAATAAATACCCTCACAAATTTTTAATGCCCAAGTAATTCAATCAAAGAAGGAAGTCCTATGCAATATATGCCTAGTATGAAAAAAAAAAAAAGTCGCACACAAAATTCACTAGATCCATAAAATCTTTTCCTTATCAACTTAAACAAGTTTAATGATAACAATCAGAGACCAACTTTGTGATACAAACATCCCAAGGAACATACGATAAGTGGATATATGTATATACACAAAGTAGTGCAAACCACAACTTCATTTTTTGCAAGAACACATGCCGTATTATTCGTAGTGTGTTTCACTTAGTAACAATCACTGCAATAGTGAAAGTCAACCCCATTACTTTGCACCACATTTTAAGCAAGGATCCCACATTTTTTTTTTATAAAGCACTACGGTTTTTATGAGGGTGACCACCTTAT